GCCCATACCGGCATCATCCCCATCCCAGAGTCGGGGACGGGTCCCCACGGCCCCTCTCTCCTCACGGCCCCTCCCCCCTCACAGCCTCTCTCCTCTCACAGCCCCTCTGCCCTCATGGCCCCCCTCCCTTCACAGCCCTCTCCCCTCACACCCCTCTCCCTTCATGGCCCCTGTCCCCTCACGGCCCCTCTCCCCTCACAGCCCCTCTGCCCTCATGGCCCCTCTCCCCTCACGGCCCCTCTGCCCTCATGGCCCCCCTCCTTTCACAGCCCTCTCCCCTCACGGCCCCTCTCCCCTCACGGCCCTGCACCCCATCACGAAGAGGCAGGGGCCAGCTACCCCCAGACATTCCGGTGGAGGCCAGGACCACCCCCCATGCTCTCTGGGCTGGGGTCTCAGAAGCTGAGGGATTGAGGGGTCAGACCGGGACTCCCCCTCCCATTGGCAGCAGGACCCCGTACCCCTGCTCTCAGCCATGCTGGAGCTGCCTACTCCTACATGAAAAATTCCTTAGGGATAGGGATAGTGAATAATGAAGGCTGCAACCCAATTAATGGCTGAAGAGCTTCCAACCTTCCTTTCCATGCTGGGCTTCGTGACTTGCTGCCCCAGCTCTTCCCCAGGAGCCAGGCTGGGGGGCTGGTGACAAGGGAGATGCCCAGAAGCTAGAAACACGTCATGGAGTTTGCTCCTGCAAGCGCAGAGGATTGGTGCGTCACTTCTTGCTCCCCTGGACCAGAGGCTGTACGGGATTTATCTGGGGGTTACAGGAAAGCTAGGAGCAAAAGCCCCTAAAAAATCACTGTTGTTGGCAGCACAGCCATTCTCTGAACAAGGGGATTTTTGTTTCTTCCCATTCCAAAGTTATAATTTTCAAGCTGACAGAAGAAACTCCTCCCAGGCTTTTCTCTGCCAACCTTTTCCAAGCTTTCCAGTATGACTTGTTCCCTTCCACTGCATGAGCTACTGGGAGATGATTATTCTCATTTTCATGTCTCATTTTAATGAGGCACGCTCTCAGGAGCGCCTTCAATAAACGAACACCATTTTGTCCAGAGACACAGTGGAAATTACAGGCCATGAGTGGTCTGAAGCTCTGCTTCTGCCACTGCAAATCCTTGCCTACAGCCCAGGGCTTGGTTTGGTTTTTCCACCGGCAATCGTCCCTTGAGGGACTCTGGCAAAGCAAGCATTAACTGCACTCCGAGCAATCAGCCCCCAGGGCTGAGACGCAATCACCAGTAAATAATTAGCAATCAAAGGTCATAACGGCTCAGACCTTCCAATTCCTGCTGTTGAAAGTTAACCATAAGGTATTTGCAGCCAACAGTCCAAGGTAAGCAGGAGAGGAAGGTTTAGGGAAGCGGCCTGATGTGGACACCCAGCAGGGACATCAGGAAGTTCTGAGCAAGTACCTGCAACCAGCCCCAGGACGCAGCAGAGCTCTGGCAGGAATGAAAGGAGTGCACTGAGGAAGGGGGTGTCCGGACAGGTCTGAGTAGGGTAGACCAGGGAAGCTGGGACGTGAGACAGAGCAGCACGGCCAGCTGAGCAGAAGGCATCGAGAAAGAGCAGGCAATTCAAACCAACAGTCCTGACACACTTGGCAGAGTCCTGGAAATGAGCTCTGGGAGTGAAAACAAGGAGAAAGGCAGTGTCTTCAGCTGGTGTTTAATAGGAATCTCCATTTGAAATTAGTAATTTGCAGACATACAGAAGGCACATAGATTTGAAGATAGCTCTCCAAGATCAGCTCCGTCTTCTGTGAATAATTATTGAAAAAAAAAAAAGAAGAAAAAGATTATGGCTTCTCAGAGCAGCCCATATATGCTAATCACATTGCACCCAATATGCTAATCACAACAGGAGAACAAGCCCTGTTATCCTGAAACACGGCAGACACTATCACACCACCAAAGGCTGTTCCTGTTGCTCTGGCATATTGCAACGAGCCGTGTGGAGAAGCAGAACAGAAATGCGTGGGCAGGAGAAGTGCAGCACCATCATGGAGACTTTGCCACTGCCCCGTGGCTCAGATCACTTAAAGAAGAACCCATGTTTCAGCGGGTCCTCCTCTTCGACAGTGAAGGTGGCTGTACCAGTGTAAAAGGCTTCTCCCGAGACTTCCACGATGACAGCGTTGTAGTCCCCAAACTTGGCTTCCTGCAGAGGTATTAGGATCAGGACAGAGGCGACAGGAGGTTCTCCGCTCTCCCGACCCCTCGAAATACCAGCACTACCTGGCACTGAGCACCCCTCACTGACCGCTCTGCCCTGCCCAGGTACACCCCAAAGTGCGCAGCAGCCCTTTCACCACCTCACCTTGCCTGCATGAGCTCCACACCCACACAACTGCTGCTCCGACCTCACAAGCCCCCGCACTGCCACAGCGTGGGTTTGCCTCAAAGGAGGCCAACAAGCTGGCGGCCGCTTGCAGCCAAAGACCAAGAGCTCCCTGGGGCACATCCAAACCTCCACAGCAACGTGCTGCCAGATCCCATGGGGCCAGGGCCAGGCCTGGAAACCTGGATGCGCAGACCCAGCTTCTACATCTCTGAACAATGCTCTCAGCCTTTAAGCAGGGAAGAGGGGACTAAACCAGGAATCCACCCTTAGCTGCCACTGAGAATGGACCAGACTGATTTATCTACATCAGCATCGGAGGTTTTCTCACCCCACTCCTTTCCTGATGGCTGAGAGAGGATTTGCAGGGAAGCCATGCAAGAGAACAAGGTCTTACTGTTGCTTGCTTCCCTAATAAAAAATCTTGAAGCCTGTGGCTTATGGGAAAGCAAGACACCCAGGCACCTCCCTCCTTCCATACGTCCTTCCCCAGGTACAGAAAGGCTTTTCTGCTTCTTCACTGAGCCAAGGCAACAGGACTTTTCCAGCAGTCCTCAAGACAGAGGGAAAGTCTGGCACAAGCCACTTGCCTTCACTGCCTTCCCGGTGAACAAGGACCCCGTGGTGCTGCTCCGAAACTTTCTGGTCTGATTCAGCTGGATGAGTCCCTTATGGTACTGCAAGGCGATGCGAGCTGTCACACCCGAACCAGTCGGACTTCGGTCAACCTACATTCAGAAGAGAAGATGAACCAGCTCTAGTGTTTTGGGGTTTAACAGAAAACAATATTGCTTCTCTCATTTCTCTCTGCCACCTTTATACTGGGCTTGGGGGAAACCCCTCTAGCCCAGGGTTTTGACCAGAATCTGGATACATCACAAATGAGAAGACAAAATAAAGTTTGGGGTACTTTTGGATTATGATCAGCTTTGGCAAACTTGTAGGGATGAATGATCTAATAAATGTTGAAGCTATTTAGGGAGCACTTGAAAGCTTCCGAGCGTCATAGCAAAAGGACTGAGAGGAGCAGAGGCCACCTTCCCCATTCTCATGCATCAAGGTAGGATTAGTTTTCCTTACACTAAGTGAGAGAGCTGCTGGCCAGCCTGGTTTTTAAAACCTCCAAAAACACAGTGTTGGCCAGCTTCCAAGGTGATCTGTCCCAGTGCTCCACACTCCTCACTGCTGGAAGTCCAACCAAAACTTCCCCTGCTATTTACATGACTGATACCTTACCCACTGCAGACAAGGATAGAAGTTTACGCCTCCTCTTTTCTCTCTTGCTCTGTTCATCCCCAGCAACTGTTCCCTAGACTGGGACTTTTAAGGACACACACAATGTTGGGAACCCGCCTCAGCCCCTGAACTCCTGGGAAACTCCCACCTATGGGACATGGGTATGAATGTTTTTTAAATGCCACTGTCTAGGATGTGCAGAAGTATTTCTGTCATTAGGAACTAAACCGGCATGTGTTAAGTGACACCCAGCTCTTCAGAGACATCACTGTAGCAGAAGCAACAATCGCTGCTCAAACCAAGAAGCAGCAGAGCTGTCCCTTGTCTCTGCAGTGGATGTAAGAAGGGAAAAAGGTGGTGCCTTGTGTGTCTGAGAAGAGCCCATTTCTGTACCTGTTCGTCTGCAAACACACAGATGTTGGTGGTGGGCTCCTCACTAAAGGCGTCTTTCCCATCTGTCAGTATGGTGCCGTAGAGGAAAGCCAGGTCTTCACTTTCAGGGTGATGAAGCTTGAACTGGGAACAGCACAGACAGGTTCACCAACAACGCAGCACAGCTGGGCAGTCAGCAGTGCGTGCAGCACAGCTTCCTCGAGAGACCAGAGGAAGGGGACGAGGCCACAGTGCTGTGTTTCCACCTCTGCTTCTCCAGTAACAGAGACGGATGGAGCAGCAAGAAAGCGAGCTCCTTCTCACATCCTTGTGAGGCTGGAGGAGGACTCTGAAGTTCAACATGGGGCTGGAAGGGTGGGACTCCCTCCCACCCCAAGCGTCTTGGGGGAATAAAGGGCCTCACCCTGGTGCAGTCACCCCTGAAGGGCACATGTTGGGGTACTGCAGCACTCTGCCATACCTGTTTCTTCACCGCTTCCGTCACCGCGCTCGCCGCATTGACAAGGTCTCTGGTCTTTGAGGAGCACACATCAAGGCCCAGCTGCTCAGCGCTGAGGAAGGCGTAGAAAGTGCCACCATAGCCGATGTCGACCACCACCTTCCCGTGACCAGGGACGTCGATGGCCAAGTCTGGGCAGGGAAAAGGGAGGTCGGTGAGGAGGGGAAACCATGCTGAGCCACGGGCTCGCACGCAGAGCGAAGGGACCCAGCCGTGCGCAAGGGGAGGGGATGGGGACAATGACTTGAGCGCTCCCATGCCAGAGAGCAGCATGTGACGCCTTATGCCATCCCTGGCGGCCTCTGAGGAACATCAGAATTGGGTAGGGATTTGCCAGATGCCCCTCAGCCAGGCCGCCAGCCCCCAAACCACAGCACAGGCACCAC